AAGCAGCATGCCAAACTGGGTGCCCCAATCGCCGACATGGTTTATTCTCAGAATGTCAAAGCCAACGTACTCGAGCAAACGAGCCACACTGTCGCCGATGATGGTTGAACGAAGGTGGCCAACGTGCATCTCCTTAGCAATATTGGGTGAGCTGTAGTCGACAATAATGCGCTCCTGTTTTGTCTCATCAGTGAGGCGCATCTTAACGCCGACAGTGACAATGTTCAGTAGTTGCTGAAGAACAAAGCTCTGCTTGATGGTAATGTTGATGAAGCCCGGTCCTGACATTTCAACAGTGTCAATGATTTCATTCTCTTCAATGTTGGCAATAATCAACTTGGCGATTTCAGGAGGACTCTTCTTCTCAGGCAAAATTTTAGACAGTCTTAGCGCAGAGTTACACTGAAAGTCGGCCTTGTTGCTTTTCGTGAGAAGGACAGACTTTTCAGAAAGAGTAGGGAAAGCCGCTTCAATGGCATGTTGGAAAAGTGTTGTCAGTTCTTTGAAAACACTCTTCATCAAGGTAGAATCAGTGGCTGATTGTGTGGTAGGGATGGGCACACCTAGGTCTGAAAGAAAACGAGCATTATTTTGGGAAGTTGCTGAATCAGCTGTTACCTTTGGCCTGTTTAGCCATCTTTTCATAATTTCCCTTCAACATGTCCAGTTGATACTTCAGCTTTTGATTTTCAACTTTCAACTTCTTCAGTGATTCTGCGCAAAAAGAGTGGTTTGAGAACTGAAAACAACAAAAGCCGGCAACTTCTTACCGACGCTCTCAAAAATATCCTCCTCGTTCTTCGGTGAGTCTCCCTGGACACCATTGGCGCTTTTGCGCGATTCAAGCTCGGCTATCTTGTTGTCGAGGCTCTTCTGAAACTGAAAGACAGTGTCCATCTTAGTCAGTGGTCGGTTCTGACTGGTGCGTTGAAGTGAAGTTGAGAGAATGAGGAGCACAAAGACTTGAAAAAACGGCAACAAATGACGCAAAACAAAGGCGGCCGCAGCAGAAGAAAAAAAATACACATGACACGTGAGCGTGTTCCCTTTCGCAGAGTACGTCTTCAGACGCAACGGCGCGCAAAGGAAATCTTCATTCATTTCTGAATTTCAGCCCAGTTGAACACCAAAAAATGCATCATCTTTATTAACAATCCAACAAAACTAACTGTCGACTGACTCTGACTGACAGCAACGGGGCATAAAGCAGTAGTTCAGCCTCTTAACCTGGTACTTGAGAATGGAGTTCTTGTCCAGGACAGAGGGCGGCTTCCTAATGACCTCCATGTAGATGAACAGTGGCCACCACCACACCTGGGCGATCAGATTGGGATTCTCGCGGACGACCGATTCTGGCTGGCCTGCTGCATCACCATCATCACCATCATTACCAACACTACTGCTCTCCTCACCCGCCAGCGACTCCTCGTCATTCAGGAGGTCGTTCTCGTAGGTGAGGCGAATCTCCTCAAACATGTTCGGCTCCAGACAGAGCGAGTGGTACGTCCAGAAGGTGCGCGTGGTGATGTAGTAGGCAAAAACGACGTCCACGGTGTAGTGCTGTCGGCTGATGAGCACGCAGATGACCGCTGTGCTGGCGAGGAAGAAGTGCAAGTTCTTCAGCACCACCAGGCAGCCGGTGTTGCGGCTGGGCTTGTTCTCGAAGAAGTACGTGTTGATGAAGAGGTACACTGGTGGTAGTAGGAGAAAGAAAGATTAGATAAAGATTACTATAAATTAGTTTGCCTACCAATGATGATGATGAGCGAGTGGCCACTGAAGATGTAATCACCGCAGAGGATGGTCTTCTCCTTGCTGACAAAACCGCCCGTTGCGGCGTATTTGGCGAACCGGTGACCGATTGCCAGGGAGAACTGCGTCCAGGTGAGGTTGTTGCTCAGCTTCTCCGTGCACACGTTCGGGTCGAAGGGCGTCGGCAGCTGTGTGCAGGAGAAGGTGACCGTGCGCGCGTAGTAGATGATGCCGAGGATGAACATGAAGCGGCGGATGATGATCTCCCGCTCCGAGTGAAAGACGAGCAGGAGGAAGAAGCACACGTTCTGTATGCCGATGTACACCTCGCTGAAGGTGAAGGAGTTGAAGTAGAAAGGGGTGTAAGCGAAGGTCACATCGTTGAGGGTGTTCACATCTATGGGCACTCGCTCGTGCGTAATGGAGATCATCGCCACGTTGAGCAGCAGGCCGGTGCACATGAAAATGAGCGCGACAATGTTCGCACTGTGTCGTTTTGTGAACTTGGACAATCGCCAGATTATGGTCGAAAGGACGCCGCAAAAACGGTGGGAACATTTCCGCGTCATGTTTCTAAGTGATGTTGGTGAAAGTGATGACTGCAAAACTGACGAGCAATTTCGGCTCCACAGCGGTTGCATAAGTATCCGTGTCTACTGTTATTCGAATTTCGAAAAACAGCTAACTATCCAAAGTGAAAATAGTCAACGCCTTCGCGAAGGTCGAGACGTTGGAGATTTTGCTCAAACTGACCTTTGGTCAGACCTAGCTTGACGCAGATCACAATGTGATTGCCGCGCCGCAGCTCACTGAAGTGTATGATGGGCACTTTGGGCTTCTTTGGGCCATCGAACTCCTCGTACGTGTACACTCGATTCACCTTCTTCGGATCGACGTCAGCAAATGCAGTCACCTTCCGGCGGTTCTTCTCCTGGAGTGACCGGTAGAGTCGTCGGCCCTCTTTTCCCGCATTCCAAATTATAAAACTGCTCCACTGAGGAAGAATATTGCGCTCCAGCTCGAGCAGTCGAACTGTCCAGATCGTCTCGTCGGTGACACTGTGCGTGGTGTTGCCTTCGTGGTAGCGATACGTCAGCAGAACTCTGTCCACTCGGGCCACTGTGCCACCTAGTCTCATGTGGGCGTGGAAGAAGAGTAAATCTTCAGGCACCCCGGTAGGGGTGTCCTCGACAAAGCCGCCCTCCACTCGGTCGTAGGTGGCTCGGTCGCAGAACCAAGTGGGCATAAGCACAGTTGGACCGAAACAAGTGTAGATTTGTAAATTCAATTCACTCGGGTTGAGGTTGTTAGCCCAGTTAACGTATCGAGGAGTTGAGTTCTCGGGAATGCGACACACCTGCGTGCCGACAATGACATTTTCAGTGCCTTTCAATGCTTCCATCTGCATTTGGATCCTATCCTCGTGCATGATGTCATCGGAATCAAAGAAGCAAAGAAACCTCCCCGAAGACTGCTCAATGGCTCGATTCTTTCCGTATCCAACGCCCTTCGGACGCTGAGTATCGGTGTTGGAAGAGAGCACCAAGGTGACATTTGGCCGAACTCCATCCTTCATTTTCTTGTGCCACTCATTGATGATTTCCTCTGACCGGTCGGATGATCCATCATTGTAGATGGACACCTCGATTGGACCGTCATACGTCTGCTTGGCTATTGAGTCAAGACACTCTTCTAGCCACTCTTCTGAGTTGCGGACACAGGTAATAACCGATACCAAGGGTTTGGGTTCAGAAGATTCAGCCCTCATTATGTTGTGAAATCAAACAAAATGTAAACAAAACGTGAGAAACTTTTTGAAGCTTTTGCATGGAAATGTTTCTGAAACGGCGAGTTTTATTTCAAAAATTGGTCAGGGAAAACAGACTTCTTTGATCATCAACTCAGTGTCTCCTTTTGCAAAGCTGCATTCTTTAATGTGAGACACCCGTCAATGTGAACTTATCATTAGGGGCATCCTTCTGCCCCCTTCGGACCTTACAGGCTTTGCTGTTGCTACTGGCCCACCGCCGATTGCCGAGCACCTTACCGACAGCAGAAAATGGATTGTGGAAGCGATTGGTCGCCACCACCTGACCGGGATTGTCCACCTCGAAGAAGACAAAAAGCGGCCACCACCAGAACTTGGTGAAGAAGTTGCCCGCCGTGGAGTAGTGCAGCGACTCGTGGTTGCAGATGGTGTGGTAGATGTAGAAGACACGCGTGCTGACGTAGTAGCCGAAGATGATGTCGACGAGGTAGTGCGACCGGCCGACCAGCATCAGCAGGACGGCGAGGAGAGAGGCGAAGTAGAGCAGGCCGTCCGCCGCCCACCACCACAGCGAGGTGGCCTTCACCTCCGCCGGCATGAGGTAGTAGCTGAGGAAGCAGTAGCTGAGCACGACGGTCACCAGGTAGCCCGCAAAGAGGTTGTCCCCGCAGAAGGTGTCCCGCGAGGCGAGGCGCAGCCCCAGCGTGGGCAGGTACATCAGACACCGCCAGATGATCGTTTCGATGAAGAGCCAAATGCTGACCACGTTGTCCTGCTTTGGCTGGCAGTCGTGCCGGTTGCCCGACACCGGCAGCTGCGTCACCGCAATGGAGACCGCCCGCACAAAGTACACCATGCCGCTGACCAGGCAGAAACGCTGGCCGATGCGGTAGCCGTTTCGGTGGAAAAGCGACAGGAGAAAGACCAGCAGGAGGAGGACGATGATGTAGGCCTCCACCAGGTAGATGGCCCCCGGCCAGTAGGGCAGCAGGTCGAAGGTCACATCAGGCAGGGGCAGCTCGTCGATGGGCGTGCGCTCGTGGACGATCGCCAGGAGGACGACGTTGAGGAGGAGGTTGCCGAGGTAGAAGCCAAAGGCGAGCAGCGTCTTGCCGAGACGGGCGGTCAGGGCACGCCACTTGCGCGACTCTTCGCTGCTGCTCGACGACTGCTGCTGCACTGCCGTGTTGGTGCTCATCGAAGAGGTGGAAGTGGAAGAGGAGGAGGAGGAGGAAAAGGATGATGAGGAATTTTTTGTAGAAGGGGATGGCAAGCTATCAGTTGAAGAAAAGGGGGACACGTTTGAAGTGGATGCGAGCAATGATATGCTGTTGGCAGAATGTCTACTGGACATTACCGCTAGAGCACGTGAAAGAGGGCATCGCTGTGCTCGATTGGCGCAAACGGATGCAAGTGAATGCAGAAATAGAAACACCGTTGCAAAACAACGGGTGAGTAAGCAGTTCGAAATAGTTCATAGTAAATAGAACTTTAGTTTTAGAAAAGAGCTGTACAGGCAAAGTAATGTAATGTGAGATGGCAAAGTGTCTTACAGAATGAGAAAATACATAGAGTCTGATGGAAGGCGCAAATAAATAAATACATGAAAGGTCACACTGGTTCACAATGAATCTATCACAGCGTCGTGAATGGTAGGGTAAAGGCGACAGGGGTAGTCGGCGTGTCTGACCTTCTCTGCGAAGCCCACCTTCTGCAAACTGGTCACCAGGTGAAAGGGACACATGGCGAGTGAGGTGGACACTGACTGCTGCTGCAGTGACCGAATGACCTCGACCAGCGTGTCGATGCCTGGCTTGTCGATGAACGACACCCCAGAGAGGTCGATTATCAAAGTTTTGTGCGCAATTTGTGCTGCTTCCAGCTTCAGCGAAGTGCTGTGCTGATCACGATGTTCTACGGCGGCCGTCGCCGACTCGGCGTCTCTGCTGACACTGAAAACGAAGTAAAGTGAAGCGGATTAGTGGACTGAATGGTGATGGTGATGATGATAATGATTAGGAGATGATTAGCAGATGGGAATGATGAGGGAGGATGAAGGGCAGGAGGGAAAAAGAGAGCGAAAGAATTAGCACAGTGTCGACTTACGGTTGATGCTTCTGCTGTTGCTGTTCATTGTCCAGCCGTGGAAAGGCCGCCAGTATTTTGTCCTTAAATACCTCCACATTGAGGTAGAACAAAGGCGACCCAAAACGAACAATTTTTATTCCTGGATAGTTGTCTAGCGCCCGATAAGCTTCAGTCTCAGCGTAGATCTCCGTGGTGGCCAGTTGTCCCAGCCAGTGCATTTTTGGGCTATAAATAACAACAAATAAAACAAAGTAAAGAATGCGTCCATGTTTATAACAAAAAGCAATGACAACTGTCTGCAATTTCACCTCGAACAAACTATATTTGAACTGTATAATTTGCCGAGCAGTGAAGGAGCTGCGACAGAAGGAAGGAAGGGAGTGAGTGACAATCTGAGTACGTACATTGCCAGGCGAATGAGCAGCGTGAGGATGGCTATGGTAATGCCGGCAATTAAACCAAGGTCGATATCAAGTATTAGCACAGAGCTAAAGGTGACCAGCCAGGCGATCTGTGAAGATGATGCGGGATGAGCGTGACAGTGAAGGCAGAGAGGGAGGGGGACAATTAGAGAGTTGACAACATTAGTTCACGTTTATGATTAGAGAGTAAAACAATGAGATAAGAAAAAAGAGAGAGAGAGAGAGAGAGGCATACCCCGTCGAGCTTGGAGATCCGCCAGAAAACCGGAAAGTCGCTAATCTGCAGAAACATTCCCTTTAGCGCCACCAGAATAATGCAAGATAGGGTACACTGTAACAAGTTAAAGAGATCAAGGTGATATGAGTGAGTATTATTAGAAGCTTTATCTCACTGTTTTGCTGCTGAAAAACAAGTGAGCTGTAAAAAAGCCTACTAACCTTGGGCAGGTGGTAGAGAAAGGGCGCCAGTAAGAGCAACACTGTGAGGATGATTGCACAGGAAACCAGACCGGCGATCTGCGTCTTTCCGCCGACCTTCTCCTGCAATGTTGACCGGGAAAGGGCCGCAGAACAGGGATAGGCGAGAAAGAAGGAGGCAAAGACATTGGCCGAACCGAGGGCAATCAGCTCCTGGTTTGCTTGAACCCGGTAGCCGTGTTTCTTTGCAAAGATCTTTGCCAGCGAAAGGGACACAGCAAAGCAAACAATGGAGAGGACGACAGAGTCGACAAAAACGGAGGGCATCAGGTCAAAGCGGGGCACTGATGGCTTCGGGAGACTGGCCGAGTGGTAAGTGAAATAGAGGTTAGGTTAGATTTAAAAGGAAAACATAATGAAGAAAGGGTTAAGCAGCATTTCTCAGGGGCTAATCTCGTTAGTGTCGCATCGTTAGTGCACAACTACTTATGTCAATTTTGTATCTCACAACCCCAGAGCCTAATGGTCGATAATGGGATTTTTCCCGCTGATTAAGTCAACACAACGGCGCAATAACTTCTGTCAATGCCGTAGAGGCCACTACTGTCAATCAAAAACCGCAAACGCAATGGAAACCCTAAAATAGACCACACAGCAGCCATTTGCATTCCCAAGTAGAGAGTGGGAGAGAAAGAGAAAATTCATTTCTTCCTTAGAGAAAGGGTAAAAATGGTGTTTCTACAATAGAACCACCAACAAGAGGAGGTAGTTGTAGTACAAGATGATGATGAAAATGATGATGATGATGATGGTGATGGTGATGGCATTATAAAATCAAATGACAGACAAACTCGCTGACACACTTCTCCAATTTCGCTCCCGAGCAAACATTTACTCGGACAGGGTAGTAGTGATGGCGGTAAGTGGCAATTAGGCAAAGTGGTCCACTCTGGTGATGGTGAGGCACTGGCCGTCTCCGAGGACGCTGACGACTTCATTGAAGTACCACTGACAGCTGCCAGTCAATATCTGTGCTGCCCAAACTGTGCCAGTAGTGTCGGCGCCATAAAGATAATTCCCCCAGACGTGATCGACACAGCTCCTATCAAAATGGCATCTCCGTCTGCCCTCGGATCTTTCTTTTTCACTGCTGCTGCTTTCTTCGAAGCGAATCTTATATGCAGGTACCACACAAAGGACACCGTTTAATTAACCGTTTTGGCACTACTAGATCTGAGTAGATACTACTGCCTTTGCTTTTTCCCTTTGTGTTGCCGGCAAAACTGAAACAACAAAGGAAAAGTGAGCTGTTTCACTGGCTAATTTGCCTGTGTTTTCAACTTTACAACTCGTGCACTGCACTGAACAGCAGCACTTGTTGGCTTTTGCTTGTTGGCCAAGATGTGAAGGCAGCCGTGTAATGCAAATCAGATGTACTTTTGGTAATGCTAATCAGCTGTGTGTGTTAGTGATAAAGCCGCTTCTGCTGTTACTCAAAAAACTTACCCAGTAGGCACACTTTTCACCACTTGAATGGAAAAGTTTCGGTTGAATTTGAATAGCCATGACATGAGGATGGAGAAGATCACCAGAAGGAGATCAATAGGCACGGGAATGGAGTGACGTTTCTTCAACCGCGGCTCGATGACCTCCTTAAAAAGAAGTAGAATGGAGATGAGAATGGCCGAGAAGATGAGACTGTTGACGTTGGCGCTCTTGATGTGCTCAAACATGATCATCCAAGACTGTGTTTTAGAGGATAAAAAAATGAGAAAAAAAGAGTGAGATAAAGAGAAAGAAACGAGACAGAGACGCTGACTAATTAGAAACGGGCACTTGTGACTAATTTGAGCAGCGAGGAAGCTATTGATGCTGTTGACAAAGCACCGTACCGTTCACCACTTCAGGTGGCACTTTAAATTATGTTCATGTTTGCAAGCTGACAAGTGCACTTCGATGTGCTGAAGCTGCGAACATGCGATTGGCGGATAACTTCAACTGTTTTGCTGTGACCGTGATCTCATAATCTCCTTCATTGGCAATTCGTCTTCAGACAGCAGCAGTGGTGATATTTAGATTAACGGTCGCAGACACTAGGCCACTGGGTAGAGTAGGCTTAAGGAGTAGAGAGGCTGAAGATCCTGAACGGAGGCTCTTTTTGCCACTTTAACGACAAGCACGGCTCAACGGTCAACACATGTCACACAATTCTCAGTACTGGCCAAGGACACCGAGCTGCTGCTGCTGCTGCTACCACTGAAAGTGTTCACAACCTCTAAGCCGTTACATTGACTGTCTAACTCTTTACTTAGCACAGCAATTACCCTTTGCTAACTGAAATGTTGCTGCTTCAATAAAGATAAAGCTTTCGCTGGCTCTTTTTTGCCGTGTTTGTCGTTATTTTCAGCGCGACGACAGTCATCGTCGTCGTCGTCCTACTGGCGTTGCCGGAATTGTGTCTGTCGGTGTCTGTCTCTCTGTCTGTGCTTCACAGCACAGGCATGGCATTGATTGATAGGACAGTGATTGTCGTGCTGGTCTACCTCAACCACTGTCAGTCTGGCCTCTACCGTCTGCCGATCAGAAAGAGCGTTTCAGTTTCAGCTACAACGTGCTGCTTGAAAGTTGTCGGCAACAGTCATTGCATGCCCATCAGCTAATTAGCGAACACACGTAGGGATTTGTGCCGACGATACCTCCAGCGCAGGCAGTGAAGAGAGAGATTGACATCAGACGGCAGATTAGCATAGCATGAACGAGCACATACACAGCTGCGACAGTACGGTGGCCGACTGAGGCGCANACGTGCTGCTTGAAAGTTGTCGGCAACAGTCATTGCATGCCCATCAGCTAATTAGCGAACACACGTAGGGATTTGTGCCGACGATACCTCCAGCGCAGGCAGTGAAGAGAGAGATTGACATCAGACGGCAGATTAGCATAGCATGAACGAGCACATACACAGCTGCGACAGTACGGTGGCCGACTGAGGCGCATCTTTTTCCTTTGAATCGCTACAACTTGATAATTAATTAAACGATGTAGCACTACTCGGCGGAGCTGTACCTAACAACAACAACGCTGCTTTAGTAAAAGGCACTGGTGCTATGCTAATGAAAATTAAGGATGATTTAAGGAGAAAAAGTGACTCAAGTTGGTCATTGCATCGTGCAGTGAAAACGATGCACACTTGATCATTCTCAAAAAGAGCGACGCACTCTATCTAGAGAGAATCAGTGCAGAGCTAGAGTGGAAATCCTAAGCTCTCTATCTTTTTCACTCTTTTAATATGACCTTGAAGTGTCACGAGGATGTGCCTAATTGGCCCAATGAAGGAGCAGTATAAACGCTGACGACCAGCATTTTTCCTAGTCACATCTAGAAACACAGAAACACAATCTGATGGGGTGTGATGTCCAGTAAAAAAAAGTTGCAGACATTATTGCACTTGATTAATGGTCAGCCAAAAGAAAAAAAGGAGGTTTCGATTAAGTTTTGTCTTCTTGCCGAGCCAAATCGCAAGTCGCAAAAGAATGCACCAATCACTTCTAGAGACAGAGGCAAACAATGCACCTCAGAGGCAGATGAGGGTAGGCACAGCCACCAACGGTTCAAATGAGCCAACTTGCCAATTAGCCAACTGTGATTTGTGAGTATCTGTCAGCGTCTGTGCGAGCACGAGTGTGAACGTGGCATTTGTCTGGAAGCTCGTCAAATTAAGTCATTAGCTAATGGTGCGGTGTAAGCAAATGAGCAAGCAGTGAGTGGCGATCAGCGAGTTGAATTGAACTGTGCGGCCAGGCATGCTTGTAAAAGATTGAATAAATCTAATGCACTGTTCCCAAAGCAAAGTGTTAGTCGCGCGCGCCNTGTCTTCTTGCCGAGCCAAATCGCAAGTCGCAAAAGAATGCACCAATCACTTCTAGAGACAGAGGCAAACAATGCACCTCAGAGGCAGATGAGGGTAGGCACAGCCACCAACGGTTCAAATGAGCCAACTTGCCAATTAGCCAACTGTGATTTGTGAGTATCTGTCAGCGTCTGTGCGAGCACGAGTGTGAACGTGGCATTTGTCTGGAAGCTCGTCAAATTAAGTCATTAGCTAATGGTGCGGTGTAAGCAAATGAGCAAGCAGTGAGTGGCGATCAGTTGAATTGAACTGTGCGACCAGGCATGCTTGTAATAGATTGAATAAATCTAATGCACTGTTCCCAAAGCAAAGTGTTAGTCGCGCGCGCAAAAGAGCGACGCATCATCACGAAGTCTCATTTGCACATTGGCGCAAGACAACAAACGCACCGAACATGACTGGCCAACACTGACAGGCGTACCACTACCTGGGTTTACCTCCTCTCAGCGCCGTACAACAGCAGCAGCCATGCAGAGCTACACCACACTACACTCCACTAACTGACCAAGCAGGGATAATTAATTTTGCATTGCAAAGACAACAAGTGAGAATTTGCCTCCTGGCTGTGGCGATTAAGAGTGGCGCAGCGTTTGTGAAAGCGCCGGTGTCTCACTCTGTCGCTGTGCATTGCCTCCTCCATCGCCAAAGTGCACTCCACTTCACTGCAAATGCTGAAAAGTGGGCTTCTAATGGCAGAGAGTCAGTTTGAAAAAAGTGTCGCTCAAAGCTGTGCCAGGTGACCACCACCACCACCACCTTCTCTGCCACTGCAAATCATCGCATGTCGCATTCATTTCGTCATGCTCAAGGAAGTAAGTCTGCCGTGCAGTGGCTTACTAGTTTCCGAGTAACAGAGTAAGCTACTGTGATTTGTGTGGAGAGAAAGATGCACTGACCGTCTGGGAATAAGGCAACTGTGCCAGTAGTGGCAGCAGCATATCAGTAGATAGCCCTCCTCTGACATCATCGCCAGCTGGCACATCTAAGCTAAGCCGCTCTCTACTCACCTTGATTAGCTTCAGTGGACCACTGGGCGCTCGAGGCAGCCCTTCAAAGCCGAAGATGTAGCCAAACTGCGAGGTGGCCACGTGAAAGGCAATTGCCGTGGAGAAAGCCGACACGAGGTGCTCCGAGAGAATCAGCGACAGTGAACCGAGTCGAAGGAAGCCCATAGCCAGTTGAATGAAGCCGCACAGTAGACACACAGTGGTCAGCACTTCAATGGTGCGCGGGACATCGTCCAGCAGATTTAGTGGCGATGCCGTCGTCGTCGTCTGATTAGGATCGGGGATGAGAACAGAAGCAAAGAGGGATGAAGCTGTTGTCGCAGCTGTTGACCCATTCTTCGCAATATCAAAGATAACGTCTGCACTGAGACGAGGCGCATTGACGGCATTCAGCTTGGTGGCGATGTTGTTCAGCATGATGCTGGCAATGGCGAAGGTGCCAATGGATATGTGCGGTGAGGTGCCCATCAGCGTGTAAATCAGCACCGGGAAGAAGGACACATAGAGACCGTTTACTGGACCCAATCCAGCCAGAAG